TTACGTGATTGTTGTGAGGTCGAATAACCCGAAAGTTACAGGTAAAGTCAAAAGCTTTTACTTATATACTTTATCTTTCTGTTCTGTGGTTTCTGTTGTCTTTTGCTGTCAGTCTATTGGACAAAACAACTCCACTGTCTCTTATTATTTAATCATCGATATTAATTTAGGAGTAATATGACGATAGATTCTCACCCTAAGATAAGTAATGGGACACCATACACCGTAGTCACCAGGGCTTCAGCCAAATTAGGCAAACAGGTGAAGGTGATGGAATCTCGCATACCGGTCTTGAAGACCAGGGCGAATATTCCCTGCTCGAACAGATTGCTCATGTCTCCGCAGTCCTACAGTGAAACTGTGCAAAGTCAACCAAGTGGATGTGGCTCCATCCCTGTTAACACGACTAAGTTAATAGAGGCGAGTGGTAAATCTGCATATAGTGGGAATAGTATGACACCGATATCCACAGTAGGCCTTGAAACAAACAGGAAGGCCAATAAGAAACGTTCACGACGTCGCAAGACGACGAAAACGTTCCCCAAGAAGGCAGACGATTGCAAGGTCTGCAATTCTGTTGTCGAACAAGTAGACTCTGCTTTCGAATGCAACTTTTGCAAGCAATGGGTACATTGTAGATGCGACACCGGGGTACCAAAAGTATATTATGATTTTATTTTCAAACTGCGTAATCCTCTTTAATGTACCAGACTGTAGCAGTAGTCTGCTGGAAAACAGGGCCTTGTTTGATCAGGAACAGTGGTCCAACTTATGTAGCACACTGGATCTGGACATCCAACCAGTAAAACTATGCAGATTGTATAGGGTCACTGCTGCTCCCCAAGACAAACCATCCCCACTGAGGGTAACACTGGGTTCTACCGAGGGTGCCGAAAAAGTTTTACTGATTTCCCAAGTCATTTCTATAGGGAGGACCTGCAATATATGTGTTAGGCCAGATAGGCCATAGAAGGAAAGACAGATGGCGAGGGAGTTGCCAGAGCTTATTTCTTCTGCCTGCATGGTTGTTCACGGCATTCCCGAACTGGTAACTGGGAACGCTTGTGAGAAGCACTGTCACGGTGTACAGCAATGGAGATGGTTGGCATCCCAGATGGCTCTGGGAAGTCCAGGGGCTGTCTCTATTTGTAGACTGCCTCGACCCACTCACCTTATGTCAATTAACACGCCACGTCTGTTAGCTGTCAAGTTCAGCTCCCGAGACCAGTTGACTACTGCTCTGGTACGAGACCAAGGACAAGTTCAGCAGACACATTCGCTGCTGCGAGAGCCGGCCTCGTATCCAAAGGAGAGAACAAAACGTTGTCATTGAACACCCCGGGGAATCGGCCAACTAGTTCGTAGGATAACTCCTCAACCGACAGCCCACATCACGTCAACCACCCCCCAATACGGGGACGTGGTGAGACCGACTACCAGTTGCCTGTACAGTAATGTGAGAGGGCTAAGAGGCAAAATAGCTGAACTTAGATGCCTACAATCACAGCTGAACTCCAAAATCATAATACTAACGGAAACCTGGCTAACCCCTTCGGTGGCAGACAGCGAAGTCAGTATAAATGATATGGTCCTAGTCAGGCGAGATGTGGACCTGAAAGAAGGAGGTGGAGTCGCCATATACGTCGACAAACAGCTCAGATGTGTCCATGTAATGGACCATCCCTTCATTGAGCTCCCTGACTCCATATGGTGCCATTTCACCGTTGGGTACTGCAAATATCTAGTGGGCAGCATTTATCGATCACCTTCATGTGGAGCAGACCACAACCAGGTACTGTTAAATACAATTTCAGCAACACAAGACATGGGTTATGATCAAATTGTCATAGCTGGAGACTTCAATGCCCCATCTCTTAACTTGATGACGGGATATGCCCATGATAGATTTGGTCGAAATCTGCTGCATACCATCAGGGAGGCCGGATTCACTGAAAATGTCAGAATAAATACTAAATGGGGCCCAGATGGAAAGTATTCTAGACTGGATTATGTGCTCGCTAGTGACCAGCTACTAGTGGAAAACGTTCAGATCATGACTCCCATAGGTAGTAGTGACCACGTGGTCATAACATTCGACATAGTCCTCCGCGAGCGTTTACAGTGGGACAATACACAGCCCTATCTGTGTTATAACAAAGCCAATTACACCAAAATGCGAACACTTTTGTCTGAAGCAAATTGGCCAAAAAATTGGATAGAGCTTACAGTAGAGGGGGGTGGTAAAGGAGATCATTCACCAGGCGGTCTCAGACACTGTTCCTTTAGTCACACCAAAAGCTAGAAAGCAACGTTCATGGCTTAAAAGGGGGACACAGCGCTTTCTGCAGGCGAAGCGAAAAGCCTGGTTTGTGTGGCAAGTATCGAAGAGTCAACCCGAACTCAGGAATCGATGTAACATCCGAGTCCGGAGTAATAGAAGGACATTTCAGAGAAACCTCGCCAATAAGCTTCTCGTGAACCCCAAAAGCCTATACAGGTTTATGTCTGAAAGTAAACCGACCAACCAGGGAGCTTGCAATCTAGTGGGTTCTGATGGGAAATCTCTTACTAGTCTTGAAATGGCAGAGACATTCAGTCTAGCCTTTCACAGGCAACTGAACAGTAACGAGGATTTCACCCCCACAAAACATCAAGATTACAATGCAAGACCAACGTGTGAAGACCTGCTGGGTACATTTCAAATTACTCCGGCTATGGTACTCGTAAAATTGGGAAAGTTGGCTACGGGAAAGTCTGCAATTTGCGATGACATAAGACCATCTGTCCTGAAGCAGTGTTCAGAAAGTCTCTGCCAACCCCTAAGTGATCTGTTTCAATACTCCTTTGATGTAGGGAAACTTCCACGTGAATGGAAACGAGCCATCCTATCTTCAAGGGTGGTGACCGGCAGAACGCGACCAGTTACAGACCAGTTGTGCTACTTCCAGTGATATCGAAGATATTGGAAAGTCTCATTGACGGCCACATGAGAAAATACTTTGACGGGACTAACCCACTCCATGAAGCACAGCACGGCTTCAGGAGGGGAAGATCCTGGGTGACGAATCTTCTACTAGCTTGGAACGATTGGAAACTATCCTGGGATGTGAAGGTACCAGTCCATGTGATCTTTCTCGACTTTGCGAAAGCATTCGACACAGTTCACCATGGTCTGCTCCTTCACAAAATAAGCAAGGCGGGTGTTTCTGGAGCACTTCTCGCATGGCTGAAAGATTACTTAAGCGAGAGAGAATTCTGCACCAAAGTCAACCGCATCCGATCATCCTGGCACACCTCGGCATCAGGGGTTCCTCAGGGTTCTATCTTAGGGCCGTTGATGTTTTTGATTTTTATCAACGACCTGCCCTGTCAACTGAACTGCTCTGCGCTTCTTTACGCTGACAACGTGAAGATTAGGAGAGCAATAAACTTATCGGAAGACTCAGATAGATTGCAGGCTGACCTGCAAACTCTGGGAAACTGGGCTCTGGCTAACGGAATGCCTTTCAACCTAAAGAAGTGCAAAGTAGTGCAACTTCATTCCGGCAGGTCACAGAGTGTAAATTACACCCTTGGTGGTCAGAACTTGAGTTGTGTGCCATCAGAACGCGACCTAGGTCTTATTTTAACAGAAAAGCTAGACACCAGTGCAAATTACACGAGGGACGTCGCCAAAGCTTACGCAACTTTGCACTTTATGCATAGGCAGCTGTGAGCTCTTACTCCCGAACTATTCTTAAGGTTGTATACGATATACGTGAGGCCACTCCTTGAGGTGCATAATATCATCGCTCCTCCGCTACTCAAAAGGGATGCTAACATGCTAGAAAGTGTCCAGAGACGAGCGACAAAATGGGTGATCGGCCTCCGCAACAAATCATATGAGGAGAGACTGAAGAAATTAAGTCTTTTCACACTTAGTTACCGTAGTCGCAGGGGAGACCTCATCACCGTCTATAAGATCTTAAATGACCGGGCCCACCCTAATAAAAGCATTCTGCCATTAAGTGATTATAGGCTTCCACGAGGTAACCCGCTAAGGATAGCATACCAGAGACCAAAGACTCGAGTGCGTTCACATTTCTTCTCGCTTCGAGTTTGCCGTCTCTGGAACGCTTTACCGGCGGCCGTAACTACAGCGCCATCTGTGGGGACTTTTAAGCGGGAGCTGGACAATCATGCAGAAATGCATGGTTTGTGTCTCCATGGCTTATCCTCTTAAAATTTGAAACCACACTGTCAATGGATAAGCATACAAGCTAAATCCCCACGACCCGTCCTGTCTCCTCTCACTGTACCGACTACTCTATCTTTTCTTTGGTCACTTTTATTATTTCACCTTTATTATTTCACTTATCTCAACCTGTATTATCTACACTACAACCTATTATTATTCGACTTTTATGACTACACCGAATGACCAACGGGTGTTAGGTCAAACTCCATTCACGGTAGCAGCGGAGTCCTAACATACTGCACACTACAAGCCACATCTTGACCAATCCTCGCACCACTCCTCTTGGAGTCTACCAGAGCTAAAGCAGCCAAGTGGCGGGATTTACTACGCACAAGTACACCGAAGATCTCGAACGTCTACCTTACAATCAAGAAGTGAGCTCAAAGAAATCACTGGTTTATACTAGCTCGTAATCAGGATATTGGATATTGGAACCTCCCTTCGTAGTTAAAATAAAAGTGCAGAAGGAAAAGAATGGCAGGGGCAGGATAATGATAGTTAAAATCACTAAACTAACCATGTCTCTAGTTATCGACGAACAGTTTGAGCCTCAGAGTGGAATTTATGGGAGCGCGCCTGGTCAATTTAATAAATATTTGTTGTCGATTGTGCTATTACTTAATCACTTAAATCAATTGCAAGTTCCAAGTTATTTATTATGAAAAACGCAAGCTCTAGTGGTCTATTATAAGGGCTACGGCTACTGAACGTTTTCGTCACAGAATTGATACCTTTTTAGTAAACTGTCATGACAACGCTGATGAATGCTTCAAGGTTGTTTGTCTGGCGGAATAGTGAAACTTTCGGGTGCACTTTTCGTTTTGATTACCAGGTAAACCTGTTTGTTTGTCTCCACATCGTGTAATTCGTTGGTTGGTTTTATTTTTGGATGTAAATGCTTTGTATGTTCTTTGTGTATACATACAATTCTATCAACTTCTCAGTTGGAGGACGCACATGACTAAAGTGGGGAAAATAACCGAAGTGGACGCTCTTGATTAGTTGAGACGTGTACGAAGCATGGGTAAAGTGCCAAATGAAACACCTCCCGATTCCCTTCGAAATTTTTATAATTACTCTTTCCCATTTTTATCCATGTTGTTGTCCGCTTTTGCTCATTTTACCCTCGTTTACCACTATCGTGAAAATTTTTTCTAAAAGAAAATTTTTCGTTTTAGAATCTTGTCTTTTGTAAGGAGATCTCTGCAGCCACTCTTAATTCTACACCAAACTGCGGAAACAATCTGATTAACGGTTAAACAAAAATCCATCAGCAGTAATGGTTGTTGAAGTGTATATATCATCTACTTCTGGAAATACAAACGTATGTTTAATATGTATATGTGATTTTAGTCATAACAGGTCAAAAGTAGACAACAGTATATAATGAACATCCTCTCCGCTGCGAAGATTCCCTACGAAGTCAAGGATATTTCATCTTCAGAAGCTAGCAAACAATTTATGTGTAAAACCCTAAAGGAAAACGGAAAGACCCCAATAGCTCCTCAACTCTTTCTTGGAACAGAGTATCTTGGGGTAAGACCATACTTTTTCGTTGTACTTTTCAGTTTGTCTTATCAAGATCTAATTTCTGCATGTACTTGCCTTGAATTTAGGAGTAACTGCTGTTTTTATATAGTTTGCACATAACCGCTGATTTGGTGTTTACAAGTCTATTTCTCTTAAGCCACTATAATATATTAATTGTCTTAGTGGTACTAATAATTTATCTTCACATTCGATTTTTCAGGTTTTAATATCACATTAATCTCTAAGCCTTCACTGGTCAAGTTCGAAGTCCAAATTCCGTTTCTATTACTTTGGCGTAAACAAGAGAACATTATCGTCCCTTATTACCTGACTTGTAGTTGATGATCTAATGTATAGGAAAAATATTATGTACTCAGCAATTGTGACGTAGTTTTATTTCATTAACCTCAATGTTTATCCAGCTCAACATTTTCAATCTAATAAGAGGTCTTGGCGTTATGGTTATTTACTGATTCTTGTCAACCTGAATGAAAGTTTATCCCTGTGTTCGAAATCATACTTTGATCCTTTACCTTTTCCGTCAGCTCTATCAAGGGAAAGACACGATTCCCTCAGGATATAGATGGAATTTTAGGGCGAAGTTCAATGATAGCATTACAGGAGTGCAAACTCTTCAATGCCCTTGAATAACGGCACCTGTCATTATCATAGCTGAAATATCAACGCTATTCACCAACTTAGGAGCAAATTTCACTCAGATCACTTTTTAAATACTGTTTAGACAATGTGTTACTAGCTCGTTATTTTTTGTGCAAAAATTCCTCATTTTTATGATTGGTCGGCTTAAGGTCAATCATGCATTCGCATCCTTTGGGATGCTACTGTTGAACTTTGCCAATTTTAGTATTCATTAAGCTAATTTTATGTATGAGAGTTTATTAAGTCTACTATAAGACGAAAATTACCTCCTCATTTAATCTTACTTAAAAAGCCACAGTAAGATTTATGGTATTGTCAAATATGAAAGAATTTTAACTCACTTTAGTTCATGAATTTATTTTTAGCGACTAATTGTTTAGTTTTTGAGTTTAAGTATGGGAAAGATAAGGAGTGTGTTCACCAATTATCCATAAATAATTAATGCTGTTTGATTTTCTCACTGAAAAAAAGCAATGATACGATTGATAAGACATTTTTTCATTTTATATCCCTGAAATTGCAGTCACTTTTACAACAATTATTCACCCGTTAAAAAGTTAAATTTTGTCCATAAGTTAAGAAGTTCAATAATCCGTTAAATTGCAGTGGTGATGTAATAATGTTTTAGCACATTGTAAATTAGAGATAATCACTAGCTTATGATGTGAACGAAATGTGAATAGTTAGATAATTATCCGTCGTACTGTTTTTCTTTTACAGAAACTGATGTTAATAGTTTCCATTCTCGTTCTGTTGGCGCTTTTAAATCAGGATTATTGTTTATAATTACATTTTCATTATATAGAGATTTAGAGATATTTTGTAGTTGGCAATTAATAAAAGGCAAGACACTGTAAAATGGTACACATAGAAGCCTATCATACTTTCCACTGTCAAAATCCTCAAATAAAGAGCATGCTTAGGATGAAAGTTCAATCATTTGGTTTTTTAAGAAGACTTTACAGATGCCTTCATATCACCTTAAGTGAGAAACTAATAACTTAATAATATTTTGGTGTAAGGAGTGATGTCATTTATATAGAATTATATCAATGTAAGTGATTGTTTTTGTTCATGTTGCGATTCAGTCCTGGAACTCAACTGGAAATTATTAACTGTTATCCACGGGACTACTGTTTTTAATAACAATTTAGGCAGACAGATAGTTTCCATTGGGCCTCACGCAGTATAGTCTCACGTAATGATGTTGAATGACTTTCTTTTCCAAGTTTTGATTTGAACAGACTGACATTTCGTAGAAGTAACTGTTTAAGTGTATCATTTTCATAAACGGTGCGTCGGTGGTTTTATTAGTAGAATGCTCCCTAACCAAGCACATTGTCCGGGCGTGATTCCTGCTTTATGCACTTTTGAGCCTCACCACCTAGAAGACGTAGACAGTTGGGTGTGAAGATAGCAAAATTATCATCTCCACTACTGAAGCATCAAAACTTGAAGCTTTGTGTGTTCCACTGGTTGGAGGGTTGGGGCGCAAGGAATAAAAATAGAAGTCCCTTGAATTAAAAAGACTATCAGTTTATTCTTGTGATGAATATCGCAGAAATTCTCATTATTTTACCTCACATTAGGCTGATATTATTACTAGCCGAAAAGTGATTAGTCAGACTGCTGAGCATTATAAACAGGCAAAATAACCTTTAGTAAGACTCAACAGCTAGGTGAATGCATATTTACTTGAAAGTGACCATTGGTTACTTAGTTCGTGTCGCATAATTTCTAGAAATTTTGGTCGTGTTCTTCTGGGAACTTTTTTATTCTCATTACAAAATACCCACTTGCTCACAATCAGTTTTAATCTTGGCAAGCGTTTGGTAAATTGATTTTGTTATAATTTTAAAGTGTTGATTATTAGGAAATAAAGTGAAAAATATGCACCAGCAGTTTTTGAGTTGCTGGTTATTAAGAATAAATGTTAATTTCCCTTTATTGTAATGTAAAATAATGGCTATCAAGTGTTAGGTTTTAGGTAACGACTTAACATCAGTGAGAGAAGTAATAAAAACCAGTGAGTACTACACAGCTATTACCTTCTACATTCAGACTCGTTAGCCGCAGGCATCCATGACTCCACCAACCAGCAGTTGGGTGCAGGACCTTCAGGTTATTATAACCATTCAGCCACTGAAAGGGAATCTAATGATCGGTCCTTGAATTCTAGTTTCTGTCACTGCTCGATATGTATCTCAATCGCCAGCCAAATGTCATAGGCAAGTATTTTTTCTGACGCCCAACTTGTTTACACTTTATCGGTCTCGGCTTCTCAGCAAAATTGCAGGCAACTTCATCGTGTTTTCAGTCACTGGTGAGTATTTGAGCAGTTTGAAGGAATTTTATTTTCGATTGGTTGCAGGATTTCATCATGAGCTGACATCAGTGAGAGAAGCATTGGAAAACCATTTGGGAGTACTGGACAACTGTTTCGTCAGCCTATTTCCGGGGCTCTTCAACAATAAGCACCCACCACAAGGGTTCGAACCCAGGACCTCCTGGTTACAAGACTAGCGAGGTCGTAGATCATTAGACCACTGGGACACGATCCAGTGACCGACCTATGAATTCTAACTTCTGCCAATTCACTCACGATATAACACGATCACTTCACAATGTCTTCTTCTATGAGTTACTGCCTCACCTTCAACCTGCTGCACCCTACTGGTCATGGCTTCCTGCTAGAACCCCAGGTTAATTGCCTGAATAGGGCTGCCAATCGCTAGTGAATATCAGATTAATTTTCAGGTATTGGTTTTGTAGGGATTACAAAACCAATATCAACTAGAGAACTATGGAAAATCAGGGAGTATTAAACAGTTGTTTTGTCGTAGTCTGAGGCTCTTCAGAAGCACAAATTCATGGCAGAGGCTGAAATTCAAGAATCGCTGGATTCTACCCTTCGTGGTTTGGTTATGGATGTGTACTGCTGGAGATTCTTAAACTAGCAGGAAATAGCTTTCCAGTGTCGCATAGTTTCCTGTGGTTCTTCAGATGTTATTACCTCCTGATCTAACAGTAATAAATTGATAGTCGATTCCACACATATCTATCTATCTAGATAAAATATACACATGTATTACCCTGCTTGTTTCTCCTTTTCCTTTTAACAGGATTATGAAGAATTTATTGAAGCGAATGAAAATGAAATGTTAATGGAATTTTTAAAAATGAACGATTCCTCTCACACTGAACGTTTAGAAGCTGAATCATAGATAGATTCGATTAAAACACACACACACACACACACAAACAAACAATGATACCCGTGTTTCTTTTTTTGATAAAGTAATTCCTCCATCTTGTCTTGTCTTACCACCGTCATTATTATTACTTGTCTGTTTTCTACAAACTTTAATATACATTTTTTGTGTTTTGGTTGTTTTTTTGTTCAACACTTTTTATATATATGCTTTAGTTGTTTGTTTCTTTTGATTCATGTCTAATATAAGTTATTGATATATATACTACTTATTATTACATACATTCGTGCATACATACACTTGTCAGGTTGATGATTAAACCGCCAGTAGTCCATAGGTGATCTGTTTTTCACAGTATTATTATGTAAATTATGCCATTATTGCTTTAAAAGGATACATTAATGTGTCCAGCTTCCATTGTTGTATACTGTTATTATTATTTACTGTTATTACTATTACTATTATTATTATTATTACCTCTGTTTTGATTACTAATCATTGTTTTGTTTTTACCACAATAAAAAAAGCGAAAACACAACTTCCAGGTTATGATTCTCATTCCATTTTTTCCTTTTTTTCTCAGTTTTACAGCTTTTTTGTACGATTGCAATATGTGCTTGTTTTTATTTCCTTTATTTCTTTTTTTGCAGTCTATGTTTTTCTGTTTTTCATAGTGGTTTTCTTTTGTATTAAGCATAATTTGATATAGTAAATGTATGTTTTTGTGTTTTTTGCAGTTAGCTATATATATATTTATCTCTAGGTGTGTTCTCTACACATTCTTCCAATGTAAAAATTAACTTGTGTCTTATAAGTAAATTATTGATTATACATAGATATGTATATATTGTCTTTTGTTATTATTTTTATTATTCCCTTGGATTCCGAGTGGAACATAGGATCGCAATAGTACATCTCTTTGTTATCCTGGTCCCACGATTTCCTATGAACCTTTATCTTCTCCTCACACGGCTTCCACCATGACACTTAACACGTCGTTTCCCACTCGTCGTCGTGGGCCTGGTGCGCGATGTCATTCAATGGTCTCCTCAGCGTGTCTCCTTCGATACATCCCTATTTTCTTAGGCGTATTTGTTGGGTAATAGATACTGGGTTGGTTCGTTGCTTCCCAGAGTTTCTTGCTGCTAAATCGTTTTGGCCGCCGACTGGCCACTTAATCTTCATTACTCAGTTGTTGATAAAAGTCTGCAGTAGCCTGTTGGAAATGCCTTTTGTGACGCGTCTGCCAAGTTTCTGACCGATATAGAGGAACTGACTGAATTAACATTTGTGTTGAAAATCCGAATCTTGTTCTTGATTCTGAGTACATCAGATTTCCAAACCGGGTTTTCGAGTGATGAAGATCTGGCTTTGACATTTTCATCCGTTCCGTCTGCCTGTAGTAGTTGAGACGATGCTTCTTCCTAGATATTTGAAAGAAGTAACCTCTGTCAAATCTCTCTCGTTGATGGTGACTAGTGCTGGTTGTTGTTGCTGTTGGGCGGGTTAATTATCTTCATCCTCTCCGTATTCACAATGTCCACTTGAAGTCCTGTTTTCGCTGCCTGCTTCTTCTGTCAGTTTGTAGGTCTTCGCCTGTAGATAGCTAGGGTTATGGCTTTTTGAATTAAGGTTGTAGGGTGCAGGATTAGGAGTTAGCATTATGGTTAGAGTTAACAGTAGGTTAGAGAACAGTGTTAGAAATATCAACAAATCTCAAAGTACCATGACCTAAAGTCACTTGGATGAATGCATCTATCGCGTATGTGGTATGATTTCTGTATAGATCATCTGTGTAGTGACTGGGAGACATTCTTACAACACGTAAGCAACAATCTTATAGTGTGATCATGTCTCGTGTTTGCAATAATTTTAGTGCATTTTTCAACGATTATTCGACTTTTTGCATATGAATTCTGATTGATATAAGTATAAAACTTGGGCCCTGTGGTAGAGTATAACTCCATTATGGATAAGATTTTATTTTGATAAATTCTCACAGTGTTATGCAGTAATATTTACTACTGATGACCACGTTTCGAGCACAATTTATTACTACTGCTCATAATCATATCAAGGCACTCACCCACACAACTTTCTTGCTTCATTTATGTACATCAGTGAAAAGTGATGATTAGATATTTGAATAAAATCAAAATAAGTACATTTGGAAATAATAATATTAGCGTTGTCAGTAAAATACAGTCAGATGGGAAATAAGACGAGTATTTTTATAGTCAAAATAAATAGCTTGTTAGAATGTTATAATGAGAACTGAGTTGAATACACTCTAACATTATTTATTATCCTCTGATTTGACTGGTGGCAATAATATCTTCCATATCGCTGGTATTTGCATTAAGTCACTTCTACTGCATGTGTTGGGTGTAGACACGATGAATCAGGATTCAGTAATCAATCTCTTTCTCCATCTACCTAGATTACTTTTTAGAATTTTAACCGTCTCCCACCCTATTGTGTGGTTGTTTGTTAATGCGTGAAGTGCAGTAGCTGAGCTTTTTTCTAACTTACTTATCTTTTCGGGGTCAATCATTCTTAGCTTAGCTAAATTCTTATGTTGTGATAATCTCACTGCTCCTGATCTACTAGTTTGACTGACCTAAATACTTGACCTGACTCACAGTGATTGCAAGGTATTTTGTAAATTATATTATTTTGTTTAATTGGGTTAACTGGGGCCTTTAGCCTACAGAGCTTGTCCTACTTGAGTGAGTGAGTTTGTAAGTTTGAATACCACTTTAATTGCTGCTTGCTTGAGAATCCTAACACGTAGGATCTCAGATGTCCTCTGCCTATGTGATAAGACTGTAGGTGCCTTATATTCTCTCTTATTTATGTTATCATTATTAGTTTTACCATTATTTTTATTTTACTTTTGACGTTTTTTTGGTCTTCTTAGTGAATTCTATAGGATAGTTATTGAACGCCAACCAGCTATTCTTCTATCTGTTTCATTTCATCGTTTAGATTTTTTCTTGTACTACTTAGTGCTACTGGTTGTTCAAGGTCACTGTGGTTTTAGCTATGATAGTTTAACTTTGCTTCCTTCAAATTATTGTTATTGTTATTCTTGTTATGCAACTTATTACTCGAGTTTGCTAATTATAACTTTTAGTTTAATTGCCTCTTTGTGTGATTAACACTCACTATTTCTTGTCACATTTTTGATCTTCTCATAGCATGTTTAGAAAAATATTCAATCCTAAGTTAACCTAATGTTTATTACTAGACTTGTTTGCGTGCTTAATTAATCCTTATAAGTAGTGAGTAGTGTGTAGCAAAATGGCGTATTAAGAAGTTTTTAACTAATTGCTATATAAGCTGATGGAAAACGATATCCAGAATCATCTATTCACTGACTGACTGTAACACGCCACTGATTAAAAAAACAAGACGGATAAACTTTTCTATTTTCAAGAGTTGATTTGTAAGGATTAGGTTTTCTTCTTTTCGAGTTTGACCACGGATTGATATCAGTTAGAAAGCCATTGAAAACCATGGAGTACTGAACAGCTGTTTTGTCTTAGTTTGCGAATCATCGGCAATACGAACCCACCGCTAGGGTTCGAACCCAGGACCCTCCGGGTACAGCCACTGGGATCCGATTCAGTGGCGAAACCATGAATTTTAACTTCTACTAATTCGTGATTTAGCGCGACCACCAACCAATTTTATAGGCGGGAAATCCATCCTTACACTTGACTGGACAACACTGGTTGGTGGTCTCGCTAAATCACAAATTGGTAGAAGTTATAATTTATGGGACATTGAATCGGGTCCCAGTGGCTGTAACCGAAAGGTCCTGGGTTCGAAACCTGACGGTGGTTCGTACTGCCGATGATTCCAAAACTAGGATGAAATAGCTGTCCATTACACCCTGGCTGGTTTTCAACGGTTCTACAACTTATACCAATCCGCGGTCAAACTCGAAAAACAAACGTCTCTATATTAAACTATGTTTGGCGGCCTGTTTGAATCTCTGAGCTACCTGAATTTCCATCCGAGCCAATCCATCTTATTTTCTTTAGTTCTTGTTGTTTTATGGTCTTTCAGTTATATCCGTGAATCTCCAAATGTACTCATGCACATTTTTAATTAGTTTTCAGCCTATCGTTGAGCATTTCTGTGGGGCCAAAGAAAAATATCATATGAAGGATTATTTTATTCTTCAGATCTAACATCACTGCATCACAAGATGTGCTGGAGATGGCTGCTTTGTTTTACTTGAAACTACTGGATGAAGTAGTAAATATTATGCAATAAACTACGCTGAAAATTGTGTACATTGTGTAAACTTCCATATTAGTTTGTTTATTAAATGTATCACACAGTGATGAAGCAGTGTAATTATTTACTGGATGACGTTTCGAACAAAACTGATTACTGTTCATAATCATAGCATCAACTATAATCACACGACTTTGAAACTTGAGTTCCATAGTTTTCTTTGTTCTCTCCTATCCGTCGTCGTAGGGGAAGTGGAATTTTCCAGATGTCCAGTTGGACACGTGCTGAATCATTCCTATTATACGTATTCTCTTCAGTTGATGCGATAAACAAAGTTTCTGTTATCAATCTCGCCCTCCACGCTGCTATTACATTAGATTTTAAAACTGTCATCCTACCCCATCCCATTCTATTGTATGGTTGTGTGTAATTGCATGTAGTCAGTGGTATAGATGAACTATTCTCTAGATTTCTTATCTTATTCGGGTCAACCAATCTAGATTTTGCTAAGTTTTTATGTTCGGCTAGTTTGACTGTCCCTGTTCTACTAGTTTGACCTATGTGTTTGACCTGACAATCATTGCAGGTTATTAGATAAACTAAATTGTTTTGTTTTAAAGGCTCTACAGGATCCTTTAACCGACAAAGCTTGTTTCTAATTGAGTTTGTGGGTTTAAATGCCAGCCACTTTTGTTCCTGCCTTGTTAAGAATTCTGCGTAAGGCTTCCGAGGTTCCCTCCTTGTATGGAATTACTACTGATGATTTAGATTCTTTATTGTTGGTGTCGTCATTAATATTATTATTATTATTATCACTATTACTATTATCATTATTGTTACTGTCACTATCGCTTCTATAATTATTTATTTTATTTTTACGTTTCCTTACATATTTCCTAACTAATTTATCTGAGTAATTATTAAGTTTCAAGGCTTCTTTTATGTGTATCAGTTCCTGTTTTAGATTTTCTTTGGTACTAATTAGTTTTTAAGCTCTGTCATTTAAACATTTCATCAACCCTATT